CACCTGTTTTGGTGCATTAAAGGCAGTGCGACAGTGTGTAGTATGTAGAGGTAATGGTTGATGTGGTGCCCTCTCGCCCACCACTTCCCATGCAAATATCACAGCCCCCGGAAATGCCACCGAGCAGGCCGACACCTCGACAAGACCTGAAAAGAGATGCTCCCCTAAAGTGTGTCCAAAGTACCGTATCTCCTTTGGAATTCTTCGAGTGAATTGGCCACTACCGGTGTCCCATTTTTGTGTGAGAACTCCGGGCGAGACGCTGATATTGGGATGACAGCGTGGATGGGGAGGATCTATGATTATTATTATGGTTCTTATGCATTATCGGGGAGGGGGTATTTTTCTCATAAGTCAAGAAATGTCCTGTGGCGTAAAAGTAAGTGGTTTTAGCACAATTTCCTAAATTTCCCATCGACATTTTTTTCTGTTAAATTTGTTCGAAGTCGGCAATTTTTATCGAAAAATCGATATTTTTGTGTTTTTGTAAATATAAATTTGGGTTCTGTCATTCGCGGGGGGGAAAAAACTGTGCGGGGAAATTGCTTCGCGGAATTTTCCATCTTTTCGCTATTTTCTCGGGTTTTTGCAACGCCATTCGATAGAGCACAAAAATATACTAAGAGTTTTGTTTTAGCTAAAATATTGTAATATAAAAAGTTATAGCAAAAACAAAAACTATTGAAACTGGTTCCGGAATGTTAGTTTTGGCATTTTGCCATTTTTCGTATTTTGGACCTGTCATTCGATAAAGCATGAAAAAATATACTAAGAGTTTTAATTTCATCTTAAAATATTGTTTTATAAAATAGTTATAGCAAAACAAGGTTTATACGGTGTTTCCACATGGGATCGTGGAGTCGAAGCTAGTTTTCGACATTTTCGTAACTTTCAAAATTTCTTGATGCCATTCGATAGAGCGTCAAAAATATACTAAGAGTTTTAATTACAACTCAAAATAGCATCATGTAAAAGAGTTATAACAAAACGAAGAAAATTTCCCCCCCGCACAGTTTTTTCCCCCCCGCGAAATAGAACAGCCTAAATTTGTAAAGGAAAAGTAAAAGTAGAATGGATTAATAGCTCCTAATTATAGATTCAAAAAAATCAGGGTTAGCTGAGATTCCTGGTACTGGACCGTTAGCGGGGGGGGGGGCTATCCAATACCTAGCAAAGAATTAGCATTTTTGCAGCGCTTTTTATCGTATTTTTTGTAGATTTTGCTTACTGAGAATGGTTTAAAAAAGTTAAGAAACTTCTGAGATTCTTAATTTTTTTAGAAAAAATCGAAAATTTCCTGAGCTTTTATAGGTTTTTATATATGAAAATCACGTAAAAAGCTATAAGGATGGTGTATTTCGTCAGTACCCCCCCGCTAACAGTCCAGTTCCAGGGCTCATCGAGAAATCCTCAAAAATCTCTGCTAGTCACCCCCTCACCGTGTTGTCCCAGAGAAACACGAAGAATCGGGGCCAATTGTTCAGCAGCTGGATAAAGTAGAAGAATGATGGGGTCCCGAGCATAGCATAGGTGGGCCTCCTAAAGGATTGAAATGAGAACGAGGTATCGAGAGGAAATGCTTTAAAGATGGAAAAGCCGAATGGGCGGTCAGATCAAAAGGAAAATTGAGGGGGAAATAGGGGGGCGGGCTGATATCTTGGCTCTCGATCAAGGCTTTTGATAACGAATGATAGGCGCCCATTGCTACTGAAAGGGAATTATCGGAGTGTTAAAATGCTCTAAAAACCGCTCCAGATACCGTAACCCTGTACAAGTAATCAGTGAAATTTTATTGCGACATTAAAATTGATCTAAATCGTGGTTGGAAGCCTCTCAAAATAATTACAGATACTGTAAAATTAGCTTAAAAACCGCATCGCAGCTAGAAAAAAAAGCCGAAATTGCACAAATCCCCGTCCTCAGATGCCTTACAAAGCGCTCCAGGCACCGTAACGCTTTAAATTCACTAAATAAAATCTAGCAAGGTAAACAAATCTAAAAAAGCAACAACAGCGCCGGAAAACTCTAAAACTTGCCCCGGGTACCGTAGCCGCTAAACTACTAAAGAAAACGAATTGGGACCAATAAAACATCACATAACAGCTTAAAAAACCATAAAACCAGTTAAGCGCAAAAATTTTTAATGTTATCCTACTATACAGGGTGTCCCAAAAAAAACGACCCATCTGGCATTTCGCCGTGTTACATCCAATCGGTCCCAAATTTGGACCAGAGGTGTATCAGACCCTAAATAACAACAATCCTGACTTTTAGCCCTGTAGCTACAGTCGCCCTCGAGTTATAACGAAAATACTGTTGTTCCCGGAATTCTTAACAGTTTTTTCGGCTATCTTTTTGGACTTTGCATCGATTTGCATCGACTTCCGGCTGCGAATCCCTAATTCCGCTTAAGAACTTGGGTAGTTTTGCGTTGTAAAAATCGCTTAAACCGAAGCTTATTTAATTAATTTTACTCTGGAAAAAATTTCTTAGGGTAGAAAAGGCCTCCCGGAACATTTACGCTTAATGTTTAGGGGGTCTAATTCCACGAAAACCCTATGAAAAATGGAAAATAAAGTTTGTTTTCGTTATAACTCGAGAGCGACTGTAGCTACAGGGCTACTGTATATAAAAAAATAGTGTCTGTGTGTGTGTGTGTGTGTGTGTGTGTGTGTGTGTGTGTGTGTGTGTGTGTGTGTGTGTGTGTGTGTGTGTGTGTGTGTGTGTGTGTGTGTGTGTGTGTGTGTGTGTGTGTGTGTGTGTGTGTTATATTTGCATGCGCTTCCGTAGTATGTACCGCACCTGCGCCTCAAGGGAAGGCTTTTAAGGTACATATGATCGTCATTAGTGCGTAAGGATCCCGAGATGAGTGCACACATATAAGATTTAGGAAAATCGGCTGTTTTCGCTATTAAAAATAAGTTTTTGTAAAGTTTTCCAAAATCCTCTTTGTTAGGAGGCAATTTGCATGCGCCGGAAGTAGGGAGGGCCTATATAAAGGGACAGAGGGCTGTTTTCACTTTTTCTTGCTAGAATTTAGGGAGAAGCATGCAAATTGAGGACTTCGCAGGAGCTGGACGGGGTGTTTTCCTAAAAAGCGCTCCAGGTACCGTAATCCCCTAGAAGAGTTCAAGTTAAAAACGTGTTAAACGAAAAATCGTAGCGACAAAATTTGTTAAATAAAATTCTACAGACAGCCTAATTCTAGTAAACAACAAAGGAAAAAATCTACAAAACTGAACCAGGCTAAAAGGTATTCACTAAAAAGCGCCACAATACAGTACACCCCACCCGGATTTCATGTCGACACCCGGCCGAGGCGTGGTGAGTGAGTATGAGAAGGTTGGCCCTCGAGAGCGATAGATGGAGGATGGCCTTTGTTGTGGACTGAGGAGGAGTTGTGGCAGAGGAGACCCACCAAGGGCCCTCCTCCTCAATACGGCGGTATGCCTTTGAAGTGTCCGGGTGGCAATTCATTTCCAGTCACCCCCTTCTCTCGCTCTCTTTGGCCCTTTTCAAAGTGGCCAACACGAGGGCCCGAGATCGCCTAATCGAGACCCCCCTCCAGAGGGCCCTCGGGATATCAACCCTATCTATATCTGAAGGGGGCCAAGAAAAGTGTTGCTTTTCGTTCAGTAAAGAAAAACGCAAAACGCAAGTACAGAAAAAACCCAACCTTTCGTAAAGGGCCGCAAAAATAGGGCGCGTAAAAAAAATTGTTAAAAACGATGGCGTGGACGAGGCAGGGTAGGACCTGCAAAAAGGACTATGACCTGACCCGCGAAACGCAATATTATTATTATTTTCATTACGTAAGTGAATAGTGATGCTATAGCATTCTATAGAAGCAGCGCGCGCGTTGCGTATCGCGGGCGCATTGCTAAATTCAGAGAACTGACATCACATGGTATGATCTGTTTCTCTATTAAAAACGGTCGCAAAGTTTTAAAAATTAAGGTTACCTTTAGATACCTTGTAACGTATCTCAACTCATTTTCAGAAAACACTTGCGCCAGCCAGTTATCTACAGCGATGCCAAAAACTTTTTTTTAAGTTTTAAAAAAGTTAGGCGGTGCGCTATATCACGCTCGAATACTTGCCTTCTACATATCCATTTCCCTGCAACCCAGAAAAGCTATCCCAAATGACCATCTCCAAGCTTCCCAGGCCTCCGACGCTTCCCATCAACACCAACATGACGTGCGCCTCCATTAAAAACGCAACAAAAACCCCCCAGGATGGCCGGCCGACATTTGTGGCGGCCAGCCGCGGGCGACCGATCAACAAATGGGCCCATAAATTGTGGCGCCGCCGGGAGGCGCGGGGTGTAGTGATTGCGATAATTTGTGGGCGGAAAAGGGCCCTTGATAGGGCCCGATGGCGGCCACTTCAAAGCAGCGCTTTCATCTGCCGCCCTTCGTTGCGTCTCGTTTCAAGTTGAGGAGGAGAAGCACCGAATTCTATATGCTTTTCTTTGGGCTTGGTGGAACCCAAATGTCGTCAATTATTACGTGTACACCTATTTACGGGTAGATCGACGAAAACAGAGATAGAGCTGTGAAGACAAAAAATGCTTGTAAAATGCGCTGTTCCTGGAAAACTCAAGTATACGGTACAGAGGTTCAAAGCTAGCTATTTAGGTATACACGGTCACTTATCTAAACCGGCACGTGTTATGTATAAAAATGTGCAGCTCGTAGAGCAGAGCAGAGATCTGTGAAAAGAAACAGTGGGGAAATTATATGAAGAAGGTTATGAAGGTTTGATATTTTTAGATAGAAAGTTCGGGCTACGTGAGACTCCTCTGTTCACGATTCCAACAACTTACTATAGGCGCTGATAGAAAATTCGATGTGGTACCGGAGGCCTTTCGCGGGCTTCTATTTTTTTGGCGATTTCCCCGGGTCTTTTTTGCAATTATTTTCAACCCTCTGTTTCTGGTTTTCCAATAGTCTTCGTGTTTTCTTTCTTCTTTCAAGAATTGCCCACTTTCAGAAAGCATGACCATTCAGGATGACCCTCCCGCCGCCACAGACCCTGTAGCAGACTGTCAGTTTTTGGCACTATTTCTGTTTAGCGGGCTCACTTTGATATTTCACCGTCTTATCCGCCGACACTAGGGTAGTTTGACCAGTTGCGTTCGGAAAACAACATCACGTTTTGAGTTTAGCTCAAAAATTCAAAGTCCGCGCGTCAAACTACCCTAGAATCGGTGGAAAACCGTGGTTCGGACTAGATCAGCTAAGCCGACGTAGCGCCGCTTTTGGTCTCATACGCAACATTTTTTTAGTCCGTGGCGTGCGAATACGTGGTCGTTGGAAGATGCTGTCGCTGATCGGGGATGGCACCTTTGGATCCGTCTATAGTGTGCACGACAAAAAACTGAACTGCGACGTCGCGATGAAGCTCGGTCACAACCATGTTGGCATTCGGTCGCTTGTCTCAAAGTTTGGCTTTAGATAAAGAAAACGCACAACCTAAAAGAAGAGACCGACGTGTATCGACGTATCCAGAATGGCCCAGGAATGACCAAGATGCTCTGGTGAATTTTTGTTCGCTCTTCGGCGCTCTATGAATAACGTATTTCAGAATCAGTTCTATGATCTATTTTCTAGGCACGGAACTGCTGCTACATACGATGTGTTAGTGATGGAGCAGCTCGGACCGTGTCTACATGAACTGCTAAACTATTGCGGTCACTTCTCCCACCGAACAACCGGCATGCTGGCAGTACAGATCTTCGATGCCATCGAGTTCCTCCATTCAAAAGGATTCATCCATTGTGACATAAAACCCACCAATTTCGCGATGGGGACCGGCGAGAACTTTCATCGTTGCTTCCTATTTGATTTCGGCTTGGCGGCTAGGTATACCACTTTGGCAGCCCGATTTCGATACTTTAGATACCTGGACGACGAGGATATTCATCGCGAATACTCCGAATACAACCAAGTGATCGGAACGAATGCATTCGCCTCGGTCAGCTGCCACCTAGGACTGCAACTATCGCGAAGGTAATAGTCTTTTGGTTTGCCTTCACCTTATTTAGGGATGACATCGAATCGTTGGCCTACATGTTCATATACTTCGCAAAAGGAACACTGCCGTGGCTAGCCTATCGAGAGCAAACGAAAACCCAGACCCATGAAAAAGTCTTCTTGAAGGTGAGTATTGTTCTAGTCTTTAAAAAATTTATTTCTGTAGAAGACCGGCCCGCAGAACCTAGAGAAGCTATGCACTGGATTGCCGCCCGCATACAAGCATCTACTGGTCGATGCTCGCGAGCTGATGTACACTGAAAAGCCGGACTACAAGGGATATAAAAGGCTTTTCCAAGAGCTCTGGCTGATTCAAAATCGGGAGGTATTCAGTTTGATTTACGAAGTGGAAATGTTTTTCCCAGAGTGGACTACACTATGATTGGATGTATAAGCGAGAGGTGGAAACCCTTGTCCGAGAGATGCCACCACCGACACCGAAGAGCAGTCCGCCAGTGTTTCAACAAACGTCACTAAATTTATCCATTGGCCAGCCGAGTTAATAAGGGCACCGTTCCCTATCCCCTAGTCTGTTTGAATTTTTGCATGCGAGCATATTCATTTATTATTATGACATCGTTACTTCAATTTCGCGTTTTCGTTTGGTTGATAAAGCTTTTGGCAAAAGTTTGTGAGAATCCTGCAACTCCGGCCGGTTTTCCATCAAAGCCGCTCTTCCATTCTCCATCCATAGTTCAACAGTTTATTTCAGAATTATTGAACAATTGTAATACTTTAGCGTAACATTGATATCACAGAAACAACAATTGCACTTTCGCTAATAGTCGACATCACGAAGATAGTCACACAATTCCTTGACGGGGATCGTATCCGGCACATGCAGAATCCATTGAGCTTCGCCGTCCACCTGTAAACTAATAATTGGGTCAGCTAGCAAATCTACCTCTTTGGACATTGCCGCGATGTAGTTATGGCTTCCGTTTGACATGTTGATGCTAAAACGAAACGTTCAAGTATCGAGAAATCACGAACCATGCTTCCTCTTCGTACTCCCGCAGCAATCGCTGGTATTTCGGCTCGGCCGCAGCAATCACTTTCCGCAAATAGACCGGGTAGTATGTCCGATCGCACAACGACTGAAAACGGGGATCAGTCGCTATATGGAACATACTTCTAACGTTTCCTCATTGTGTTTCCCGGCCTCCAGGTAATCGCAAAGGGATCGCTGTGCTGCGAAACGCAATACGGCCGATTTTCCATATGGGATAAGCACACAGCCTATCTACAAAAAAGATAAGCTTGCCAAATATCGCTAAATTACTCTCGAATAACTGGAAGAGTCCCTTGGGTGGGGCACAACGTCAACAGTCGGCGCTTCAACCTTCTTGTACACGACAAACTGTGTCGCCCCGCCGCGCACCGGATCTAGAAAATAGTTGCAACAGGCGTGGAGTAAGTGGCACCTTTCCCGCTTTCCTTCGCATACTTGGCAGCATATTTGACTTGAAGCTCAAAGGGACAGAAACCGCCGTCCGAATCGCTTTCATTGTTTTCCAAATATCCCACGTAGTCGACCTCGGCTGAATACCCACTGCCCTTGCGAAGTCGTTCAGTCCTCAAGTCAATTTTGTACAGAGATAAAAGTTCGAACCATTCAGTAAATTCCACGGTGTTGAATTCGAAATGATGATCATCGTGGCGAAACTTTTTGTCCATCCCCGGGAATTTCTGAATCCAAGTTGAAACCCAAAAAAAAATCGATCAACCTGATTGTATTCGTGGTTTGGGGTGCTGATTATCGCTACTTTGGGCTTTATGTTGTGAAGAATGTTGAAAAGCACCTTGTCAGCATCCTCAAGGGGCATATGCTCTATCCTAAAAATATCCATCGTCAAAAAAGGAAAGCCTACACTTCAAGGCAAATCACAACATCGACATCATTCAAGCAATTGTGGAATTCTTTTATGTCACCTAAATAGGGAAACATGATAGTTGGGTATTTCAAACCTTTCCAAACTTCGACAATAGCAGGATGAGCAAATATCCTCCCAAATAGACGCTTGTGGCTCTCAGCATAATTCTGGAATCGAAAAATGGTTCAATCAAAAAGTTAAGGAAACCTTCAACGAATCAACTCCGTGATGAGCGTCCTCATAGCAAATATCAATAGATATCACATGCTCGGCACCGATTCGGTGGAGGTTTAGGGAAAGGTAGCGCTCGAAGGACAAGGCGCCGCAGCCAAGCACGGCTATCTAAAACAAAAAATTACTACAATCGTGAGGAAAAACAAACTTTTTTGACGTTGACCCCTTGCTCCTTAGCCTCAAACAATTTGTCGTAGGCATGGCGGTTGCGCTGCACTTGAAGCGGCGGGCGAAAGAGTCGCTTATTCTGAACGGAAAGATAAAGAAGAGCCAAAAAAATCGACAAACCTCGTGGTGAGGGAACTCGATATGGTGATCGTCGGCTTTGACCGGTTTCTTTTCAGGAATGGGCGGGATCACGAATTTATCGGCCTCCGAGTAGAGCTGGTTGAGGGAATTGAGGATGAATTCCTGAAACTAAGTGATTAAAAAAGGTAAAGCTATACCCGGCGCTCGGTCAACACTTCTTCGGGCAAAAACCCGTCTGGTTCCATTCGAGTATTTCTAAACAAAGGGGGTTATTCATTTTATCGGTATCAAGGTATGAATTCAATTTGAAAAAAAATCGGAAATATTCAACGAAAAATCAGGTGAACTTGGTGAAACTAAATACGTTTTGTAAATACCGTATCTAATGTGATATCCATTCACGGATTTCGAAAGGTTACATTTACACGTATAAAAAAACGAAAGTTTGAAAAAGCTTTTCTAAAAGTTAGACTTTTTGAAATAATGTAAAGAACTGATTGAAACTATAGTTTATATATAATACGATTTTCTCAGATACCGTACTCAAACGTTTAGACAGTATTCCTTTTACAACTAATTATCTTCTACGTTGTGCCCCGAAACCATATTTTCAGCGCCGCTCTCTCATTCGTCTCGTTTCTCTCATTTCTCTCGGCCACCCCTCCGGCGCGGTGATTCAAAAGAGTGCGAACCCTCACTTACGAATCTTCTTAGAGATATTAGATTTGCAACTTTATATGAATTTTACTGACCTTAAAGTGTTTTAATAATAATAAATACAGCAGTTACGCCCGTCGAGGCACTCAAAAACGTTAGTTTATGTTGATATATAACTAACAATTGATTTTCCCTTTTTATGCAGAAATTAACGAGCCCCGGTGTTTTCCCTTCTATATATTTCTACAATTAATTGCCGCATTTTAGGAGATCAACTCACAATTAGCGCTTTTTCTGTACGAAATTTATCACACCTCATTGTTTTCCCTGATAGCTAATTTGTAATGATTCAGAAGTAATTATAAACTTTTAGGAAATGGACCCGCAAGAGCTGGGCGACCCTCTTGGCGACCCACCGGCCTCGAGCCAGCCCGAGGTGGTCCCCGAAGACGAAACACGTGAACGGCTTCGTGGGCTCGAAGAAGACAAGACGCGCCTCGAGCAGCAGATTTTCGGCCATGTACAAGAAGTAACTGCACTGCGCACTCAACTGCAAAACGTCTCTACCCGCAATGAACAGCTGACCGAGCAGCTCTCTAGTTGTCGTAAGTATCAAAATTTGCCCTGAAACCTTTTTCCAGTCTCGGATATCACGGCCAAGGAACACAAGGCGCGTCTCATGGAAGCTGCCAGGGACGAGTATGCCGAGAAGAAGGTATGAACTTTTGGTTCGAACCTCTAGTGAACCTTCTAGACGCGATGCGAGGAACAGCTCGAAAAGTACAAACATGAGAAAGAGGACCGCGACGCTATTATCCGCACAATTACCCGTGAAAAGCATCAACTGAACGGTAACTTTTCAGTCAGAGATATCTCGAGCAATATTCTTTTCCAGAGGAGCTCGTCACTGTTCGAGAAAAACTTGGGAACCTGAAACAAGAAAACGTTGAACTCAACGCCGAGCGCAAAGCTTGGGACCGGGAAAAGCGCGAGATTGATGTAAGCATTTGACAGTCGTCTCCACTTGACTTTCTAGGCCCAGCTGCAGCGTGTCAAGGACGAAGTTGCCGTTTTGAGCGAATCGAAACGCTGGCTGCTAAATGAAGTCAGCGCACGTGATACGAAGATCTCGCAGCTACGCATTGAGGCGGTAATTTTGGCAAAAATGGAGTAGATCTCTCTTAGAGCAACAATCAAATTGAAAGACAAAACGAGAAGAGTCGACTAACAGATGAGACTGTTGGACTGCAGGATCGAGTAACAGAGCTTGAGGCCGAACTCAGCCAAGCCAATGCACAATTGACCGAAAAAGTTCAAGCCTTCAAGAAGGTCGGTCCACTTGCTGACTATTTTTGTGACTATGTGCTTTTCAGCAAATTGAAACACAACAACAAGCTGTTTACGAGGCCGAGGAAGAGTTGCGCGGTCGCGTCAACATTGCCAGCCAGTACAAGGAGGCGCTCGACAACGCAAATCTCCTGATCGAGGAGTTGAAGTAAGATAATTTTTATGCGCATTAATTTTGCTTCAGGAGCTCCGACGAGCACAGTGTGCGCGAAGCTGCTGAAATCCGTCAGCTATTGGAGGAAGCAAAAGAACAAATGGAAAGCCGCCAACTCCAGCTGCAATCGGAGCTCGAGAGCCGGAATGAACGAATTAGTGATCTGGAGGATGAGCTGCGGAAGGCCAACGAACTTCTTCAGAGTGGCAATAATTGTGAGTTTTTGCGTCCAAGGGTTTGGTACAGAAGTTTTAGTCGGTTCAATTTCTGACGAGGAACTCGAGCGAATCGCCCCGGCTGCCGCTGCTACAAGCAAGCTGCTCCGTTCTGGAATGACTTTGTCACAGTTCTACCGGTATATCACGGATGAATTAACTCCTATCCTTAATTTTTAGGGAGTATGCTCGCGTCACTGGAGAATTGGAAGAGCAAAAATACGTCAACAGCCAACTGGAGAATGAATTGCGCATCGTGGTTGAGCAGATTGAAAGTGAGCTATTGACTGTGTACATATACTACTTTTTTTAGATAATATGCCTGACGTGGCTCGACAACGTGAACAGCTTGAACGTACCCTGGACCATAACGATCGGCTCAGCAATCAGCTCGACGGGGCCGCTGAAGAGAAACGCCAGCTGGTCGCGCAAAAGGATGCTGCGACTCGCGAACTGACGTTCACCAAAGTTGAGCTTGAGCGTTTCCAACGCGAACACATCAAGCTGAAAGAACAGGTATCCAGCTTTATTTGGGGTTTTATGGGACTCTTTAGACGACGCAACTACTCTTTGTGCTGGAAAGCGAACGAATGGCGGCCGTCGAGCAAATGCCGCAGACGCCTGAAGAACAACGCCGAATGTACACTTCCATCGCGAGCCTCCAAAACCAAAACGTACAGCTACAAATGGAACTAGAGAACGTACAACGCGATGCCAAGAACAAGCTCGAGGAGGCCGTGCGGCAAGAGTCTCAACGGTTGCGCGAGGAACTAGATTTGTCGAAGCGGGAACTGGAAAATATCAACGCGTCGATGGGCCGACTGCAAACTGCGATGGGCAGCCTCGAGCAGCAACGCGACCGTCTTCGCGATCTGGTGGAGCGAGGCTCGTTGGATCCAGAAGCGGCCGACCTTCGCAAGCGCAACGTCGACTTGCAAAATGAACTGGCTGCGCTGAAGGCTCGATACCAATTGGTCGAAAAACGTAATCAGGAACTGAAAGAGGAGACTGAGAAACGAATCCAGTACGTCGTGTCAAATTACCCCTCAATTTGTGTTCAGGATCGCCGATGATCGTGTCGTTGACCACAATGGTAGGATGAACGAGCTCAAGCTGGTGCAAGTGTCACTTCAGGCCGAACTTGACATGCAAAAGCAGATTGCGCTTTCAACGAAAGCTGTAAGGTCTTCTTTGTATCCCTTTTATCTTGTTTAGGAATACGACAAATTCATTTCGAAATTCCGGGCGCAAGAGAGAGAATTGACCAAGTCACGACAAGCACAGTCTGCGGTGGAGAGCAAATTGTCGGAAAATAACGATATGATGGTGAAACAACAGGATGAGATGGCCTCGCTCAAGTGAGATCAGTATATTTGTCAAACATAATTTGTTAGGGTTGAAAACCGGGCGCTTCGCGAGGACGTTGAGCAAGCGCGATCGACCACTTCACGTTTGGAGGGTGAACTCCGGGTGTATCAAGAAATGTCGAAGACGCATCAGAACCTTATCGCCGCTCTTGGTGATGCTGAACGCCGAATGCAACTCGGAGATGATCTAAAGGTCACTCGACTCGAATCACTCTTGGAAAGCACTACTATCGAGCGTGATCAGCTTCGTGCCACTAACCAGAGTCTATCCGAGCAGCTCAGCAGCGCTTCCCGATTGAGCGGTGAAACAGAGGTATAATATGACGGAATTGGTTTAAATCTGAATCTTAGAAACGTCTAACTGGTGATCGTGACCTTCTTCGCACTCAATTGGAAGAGCTGAAGAAGGAAAGCACTGAGGCTCAACAAGAACTGGCCTCGATGCGCACCAAACTCGACGCCGCCCAGAAGCAAGCGGCCGCATATGAATCCACGAACGGTTTGTCGTTTTGCGAAAGCCTCATTTTTCTTTTAGTTTCATTGAATCCCGAGCGATTGGCCAACCGCAACACCTACCTTGAGGCACAAGTTGAAGAACTGAAGGTCAAGCTTTCCGAAGCCGAAAATAGACTCGCACGTGCCGATCATGAGGTGAAATTTATGAATATTTTCTTGGATAGTCGGTGGATGGCTTAAGCCATGGTAATGGAAGGTTTCAGTAAAATCGCGCTATTTTTCAGCTTCTGCAACTCACCAACACTTCGGACAGCGTGGAGACGAACCTGAAAGAACAAACGGACAGCGCCCAACAAACGATCGGGCGACTGAATGGACTTGTCGAAGCGGCCGAAAAGCGCAACAAGCAGCACATGGAGCAAATCGCCTCCGTTCGCGAAGAACTACAGCGCCAGGGCGAGGAGCTCGTTGCTCGCGAGGCCGAATGGACACGCGAGAAAACGCAGCTTGAGCAGAAGGTGGCCGTGCTCGAAGTGCAACTCAACAACTCTGAAGCCCTACGCGGAGAGCACGAACGTCGTTTGACCGAGCTCAAGGGAGAGCACGCCACAATTGAGTCCCGATTCACCGCCTTGGAAGAGGAGAAGAACCAGCTTCTGAGGGACAAAGATTCCCTGGATGTGTCCTTGGAAACTCTGCGTGCACAGCTCAGCACGACAAAGATTGAGTTGCAGGTATAATATTTTTTTGCATGTTTTGACAGCTGGCCAATTTATTGAAACGCTATTTTTAGAATGCCAACGCGAGGGCTACTGAAGAGCTTCGAACTCGTGAAATCATGGCCGAACAAGATAAGCAACGGCAGGCGGCTGCTAACCAACGCGTCGATGAGGCCGAACAGGCATATCAAGCTGCTCAGAAGCGCACCGAAGAGCTTCTTCAACAGATCACCGGGGTGAGCTTGCCATAATTTGTTTTGACCAACTGTTTTAGCTTTCCAACGAATTGACGGTGCTGGAGGCAAAGTCAAAATCACTTGACAGCGACCCGACATCTACCGGCGATGCTGCTACCGTTTCTGAGGGTGGCATGCAAGTTATGCAACAAGTCGTTCGTTTCCTACGTGAGGAGAAAGAAAAGGTGGGCAGTATTTTTAAAATAATCATTCTCCCTTCTAGGCTCAAGAACGCTCGATGGTTGCGGAGATGGATCTCAAGCGTCTGCGGCTGGAAATCGAGGAATTGCGTGAAGTGAAGGCTCAAACTACCGAACAGCTTCGCCAGCGTGAACTGGAGGTTGAGCAAAACAAGGTCGCCTTGGCGCAAAAGGTTAGTCCTGTTTTGATACATAAAACCACCCGATTTCCAGAACGAACTGATGAACCGTCTGCAAAAGCTCACGATGGTTGCCAAGGAAAATATGCACCTCAAAGCAGAAAAAGCCAAGCTCACCGATTCTTTCGCCATGCTAAACAACAAGGTACACTTCCGATTTGTATACGTAGAATCTGAATTCATTTCAGCATCTCGAGCTTGATAGCCAAGTGAACGACCTGCGCGTGGAGAAGGAGCGCGCCGAGCAGAACGCTGCTTCGGCCAATGCCTTGGCGGCTGCTCGGCAGAACGAGCTGAATCTCGTTAGGCAGCGTATCGGCGAGACCGCGCAGCAGAAGATCACCGCCCTCAAGTGAGTTCGAATTCTTCTCACAACGCATTCTTCACTATCTTTTTATTGGAGGCTAGCCGTGAGAAAACTTTCGTGATCGCAGCGAGACAGCAGCGTATTATACGAAGCATATTATTTTCTTTTAGGCAGCAGCTGGACAAAATTACTGCCGAGAAGGAAGCCGAGTCCACAAAGTTGGCTGAGATGACGACTGCGCTTGAGGCCAAGCACAAATTCGCCCTCACCCAGGTCCAGAAGTTCAAAGAGGTTCAACAAAAGCATCAACAAGTTGTCGTATTGGCTCGAAAACAGCGTGACCAGATCCAGGCTCTCCAACAACAAGGCGGAGCAGGTAAGAATATCTATGCGTATGGTATCATAGCCGTTTTAGTTTTTACAGCATCCGACTTGGAAAAGAAAGATCAAGAAATCGCGGCGCTCCAAGAACAAATTGCCGGGCTGACCAAGACAAAAGATGAGAGTGAGAAGGCTGCACAGGCTACGCTTGATCGCCTCGAGGCCGAGAAGGACGAGGCGACGGCTCGAGCTGCCGTCATGCATAATATGCTCGAGAAGAGCAACGACCGTTCCAAGGAGTTGGGAAAACAATTGGAAGCCGAGAAGGTATAGGCTAGCTATTTGTTTCGATCATCATTTTACAGGAGGCACACGCCCGAACCCGTGCTGAAGCGGCACTTCAACAAGCCGCCATCCAACCATCGTCATCGCGCTCTGAGCCAAGTCAGTCGGTCTCACGATCGACACAGCCCGTTCCGGCGGTTCCTACACCTGCGACGACTACCGTCACGTTGGCGCCCACCCTGCCACAAATCCAGCAGGTCGATGCTGTCCCAAGCGTAAATTTTATCGTATGTATTTGTAGAATGTCCGTTTAGGCCCCGGTCTCGGCCTCGGATAGCCACCCGGCTGTCCCCTCATCTCAACAGCCATCTTTCTTCTCTGCTTTCGGCAGTTCATCGACGAGCTACCGGCCCACCCCGGCCACCTCGGTTTTTGGAAGCCCCACTCTCTTCAAGGTATCACTGCTAAGCACCAGCATCAATTTTCATTCCAGCCACAACCCCAGCCTTCCGTTCCGACGCCGGCTACTCCATCAACTACAGCTCCCGCCCAGCCATCGGTCCCTGTTCCGAGCCCATCCGTGCCACATAATGATGCCCCGCCCGCAATGGTAACGGTTTCAAAACGGATCACCTTCTTTTTTTAGGTTGCTGGCTTCTTCGGTCTCCGCCCGGCTGCTCAAAATGCCAGCCGCGCCTCGGCTTTCTCGTCGAGCGCCCCGGCTGATCCAGCGCCGGCCGCTGCCACCGCCAGACAGACGCCTCCACAGCGTCAGTCGAACAATACGGAGACGATCAACGAGAATCCGGTTGCTCCGGTCGATGAGCCCGATATCGACCAGGGCGGAGCTTTCGCCATCGACGAAGAACTGCTTCCGGCCGAGCAGCCCTCGCAGGACGACGTCTTCCTATCCACAATCAGCTCCTCCAGCGGCGGCGAAACTTCGACTCGCAAGCGTGGCCCCCAAGAGGATCCCGGTAAATTTTGGGAGTGGTTTGGGATGGCTATTCGGAAAGTCTATAAACGCGTTATTGGTTTCCAGAACAGCTGCCCAAACGTCATCGTGACAGCCCTGGCGAGAATTTGATCTCAAGCAGCCGCGCCAACGAGGATGTCCTGATGGATGCGAATTCTCTCGGTGGCATCGACGACCTTGATGCGATGCGTCAGCCGGACGTCTTGGACGAGGATATTGAAGGAGGTGCTATGGAGGGTGATGGTGAAGAGGAGGAAGAAGTCGTCGAAAGACTGCCTGAGGTTAACCCACAGGTTCTGAACGATGAGGACGATGATGATGATATTCAGGTGCTGATTTTTCTACGTTTTTTATGCTTCCAGAAAATAATTAACTAGGCCTGTGTATCTATTTAATCGGATTTTTAGGAGATCCCCGATCACCCACTGCAGCACCAGGGCGCTGAGCAAGAGAACGAAGATGATGACGACGACGATGACGATGTTCAGGTTATCTCCTCGGATTCGGAAGGCCAGGGCGTGGGTGACACCGATTCGGAAGAGTAAGTTGAACCTATCTTCCTTCCATACGCTTTCTTCAGCGATACCGGCCTCGTGGTGATGGACGATGGCCCTGGAGAACCGGGCGGTGACGTGGAAGAGTTTGGTTACAGCGAAGGCGAGGACCTCGATGACGATGATGCGGGTGAAGATTTTGGCGATGAGGGTAATTTTACTGGAGATGCTCTTCTAGCCTCCTAGGTGATGGTGTAGAAGCGGATGAAGCCGCTAACCCATTTGAAAGCAGCGACCACGACGGTGATCCGAATGTCGATGAACAGACCCAAGGTATATTATTCAAGACCCCCGTAGAAGTTTCTTTTAGACGCTGAAGTTGTTGACGTCGATTTGCTCGAGGAGATTGGGGGAGAGCGTGAAGCCGCTTCGGCCATTGAAGAAGCTGACGACGAGGGTCGTGCTGAAAGCGGACAACGCGTTGCCCCAGCCGAGCCTCTGCCCGCAGGTAAGTTTTGAAAATCGTACGCCTTTTACTATTGTGTGCTCGCATCAACCTTTTCCATATTTCAATTTTTAATGTAGGTGCCAAAGACGACGCGAGCGAGTCGTGCGCCCAACAGCCAGCCCAATCAACCACGCAGCGCCCTCGGACTGCAGCTGTTTCACGGGCTCCGATCCAATTCGACATCTTGCCATCTTCATCGAACGAGACGGCTGATCAGCAACCGACTACTTCGGCTGCATCTTCTTCCTATCCCTCTCGTATATTGGCTGCCGCCCGAGGAGCTGCTCGCGGTGGCCGAGCTGGTCAACGCCCTCCTCCGGCCGGCCCTTATGTCGCCCCATCTCTTCGCCAGGCTCGTGTTGGTCGCGGTGCTATGGTGAGTTGCCCGCTTTTCTCTGAATTCTCTAATTGTTTGAGTATTAATTTTCGTGTTTTAGGGCGCCCCTCGCGGACGCGCCGGCATGGCCCCACGCGGTGCTCATCGTGGCGGTCCGCCGAAGATGTAAGCCTCTCCCGAAACAATTCCCCTTTATGCTATATCTTGTTTTATACGTGCTCCCCCTTCTCGCTGGTCCTAGTTTATCCTATTCCCGTTCATCAGCGTGTCTTTTACTGCAAACCCGCGTGAATGTTATCTGATAAATCTTTCATTCCATAGGTCGGCTAAGCATTGTCCATTTAACTTCTGAATCGCGAGTTTCACGTCAAATACGTAACCAGGCACCAACCGCAAGAACTGGAAAATAATTTTCGTCGCATCCGATAGTTGTTATGTGCCTACATCTTATGCCGGTTCCCTGGCGCGGCAAAATTTTGTTGTGGCGATCCGGCTCAACGCGAGCAGTTTACCTTGTGGTTCGTGTTCTATTGCCTGGCTCCTTTCAGACGATCCTGGACCGATTTTACGATTTTCCCTCGCGGTTGCGCCTTGTCCGTGGCCAGAGTTAACAGCATTGTCCTTGGAATCGATAGGGGGAGGCTGAAATGAGGGAGAGATCGTTTTCTTTTTCCAGCATTTAAGCCGCGCTTGTTTACAATTTGGTAAAGCTGGGTTTTGACGGCAGCAAAATGCCAATTTTCGGCTATATCTAGCTTTCTATCAGTCTTCCTAGCGAATATCTGAGACTCAGAAAAGCTGAGGGTGGAGGGAGAGTAGTTTCCTTTTTACAAAATTTTAGCCGCGCCTTTTTGTAGTTTTTCAATTTGTTCAAACTATTTTAGGACAGAAAAATCCCGAATTTTCGGCCATCACCAGCTGCTGATCACCTAGCGAACGCCCAGACCTCCGAAAATTCAGCGAGCACCACATCGACCACCTTCACACACAAGAAAATGCATGCATGAGTCGCACCGATTGCTCAAGGTCACCAGTTTGCCGAACTTTTGGCGCGGGAGTTCCCCCAGCGCGCCTGTGACGCGCTAACACGCCTCGGAACTGATGGTGACGCGTCGTCCCGGGATCCGTGTCAAAAAAAGACCCAGTCAAAAGATCTCGCGCGTTTTTCGGGTGTAATGTTAAGGTATTTTGTGCACTATGCAGATGACGAGGGGCGGGGGGCCGGGGTTGGAAATATGAAAACAGCCGGGCGAGCGGTGGAGGAAAATCGGCGGAGATTTGGAATTATCGCGAGAAGGGGCTGGTGTGTGTTCCGGGTCTGGTTGTATATCGATTTTTATGGTTTTCTTCTTAGGTTTGGTTTGGCGTTCGGTAGAGGCGACGTCAACGGTACTGGACTGTTAGCGGGGGTCTAAGTTTGGCCTATCGTTCCGTAGGTTCCCAATAACGAAATGTAGCCATTTATGTGGCTTTTTACGCCGTTTAGAGTTCTAGAAAACTCATTAAAAATTAAAAAGTTCGAGATTTTTTGTTTGGTCAGAAAATTTGATTTAAAAATGTTAGATGATTTTTTGAGATTGAAAAACTACGAAAATGCTACTAAAATACAGTATAACGCATTAAAAAGGACGCTAGACAGGTAGCGTAACCTAGATGGCCTTACCCACCCCCGTTAACAGTCCAGTACCCAAAAACCTTATAAAAAGTCATTGCCTCAAAATTTTATGGCATTTCATAATATTTTCGACGTAATAACGTTTCCGCGCGGAAGTATTGCAAAGTTCGGCGTGCGATACCGATCTGAAGCTGCCCGCCGCGCGTGTTACGCCAACATCAACAAGGCGGTCAGTGCAGCCGGGCTTTATTGTCCCTCGCCACTTTCTTATTTTGGTGTATCTTTCGGGGGAAACGCGGTGGTGTGCCTATCCCCAAAAATGGGCAGTCTAGAAAGAGGGATATATCGTCGTCCAGGGGCTCATCCTCCTCCACATGCCAAAGCAACTCCGGGTCTTCTTTTGTCTGTCAAAACCGAATGTCTGCGATTGGCCAGCTGGGCAGGAGGAGACTCGCCTAGTTTTGTTGTTTCTCAACGAACCTCTGCTAGTTTATTTTCTATGAATTTAGGCTTAAAAACTGGTTGAAATCTGAAGCTTTTTCCTACAAGTCCAGAAATGCCTAATAACGTAACAGTATGTATTGTAATCGTATTTTTAGTAAAGTGCAACTATATTCAGATGGAAAAGCATTAAAAAAGACTTCGAAAAAAGTTTGGTTGAAATTAGGCAATTTTAGTCGAAAAATCCTGTTTTTTAATTTTTTTTGTAACGAAAATTTGTAAACTTTTGAAATTTAGAAGTCTAAAAAGGCTTCCGCTATTTATGATAGAAAAGTTAGACTAAAGTATCTCACCTCATAAAATTTTTTATAAAACCCAGGATTGCAGATTTGTGTAATTCCCAAGTGCTCTCTGCTAGCTTGCCTTCGTTAGCTCTGCACGCCATTTTGTTTATACTAAAAGTTTTATTTAGCGCTTTAGTTCAATTTCCGGCACTTTAAACCGCCGATTGCCAAAAAAATGCCCGTAGACGCGGAACTTTTTCAACTTTCTGGCCCATTACTCGGTCCGCCTTTTTGCACGGTCTGCCACTTAACCGCCATGCGCCATTTCTGAGCACGAGAGCCGCGGTCGCGGTCAATCTCGAAATGGGCTTACACGAGATGCGGCGAGGGGAGAAGGAAAAGGAGGAAGAGCAGGTAAGTTGCCGCTCCGTCGGGTATCTCAGGCCGAAGAAGTCACATGCGGGACCGGGGCCAAAATTGGTTTTTTATGGGCTCGACTGTTTTTGAGTTTTTATTTATTTTATAGAAGGACAAAGTAAATATTAGGGCTGACCCCGGTGTCTGTCAAACTGGTTTAGTAGGCTTCAAAAAATGGTTGGGTTGTCCCGGCCTTGAATTGAGGGCCACTCGGCGAGGGCGATGAACGAAGCGCCCTCGAATTTTTGGTGGTTTTTAGTAGTCTTGCGTAGTTTCTAATTTTGCCCTTCTCCTAAAGAATCTCTGCTAGCCTGCCTTCTCCTAAAGAATCTCTGCTAGCCTGCTTTTTCCTAAAGAATCTCTGCTAGCCTGCCTTCTCCTAAAGAATCTCTGCTAGCCTGTCTTCTCCTAAAGAATCTCTGCTAGCCTGCCTTCTCCTAAAGAATCTCTGCTAGCCTGCCTTCTCCTAAAGAATCTCTGCTAGCCTGCCTTCTCCTAAAGAATATCTGCTAGCCTGCCTTCTCCTAAAGAATATCTGCTAGCCTGCCTTCTCCTAAAGAATATCTGCTAGCCTGCCTTCTCCTAAAGAATATCTGCTAGCCGCCTTCTCCTAAAGAATATCTGCAGCCTGCCTTCTCCTAAAGAATATCGCTAGCCTGCCTTCTCCTAAAGAATCTCTGTAGCCTGCCTTCTCCCAAAGAATCTCTGCTAGCCGTCCTTTTCCTAAAGAATCTCTGCTAGCCTGCTTTTTCCTAAAGAATCTCTGCTAGCCTGCCTTCTCCTAAAGAATCTCTGCAGCCGCCTTCTCCTAAAGAATCTCTGCTAGCCTGCCTTCTCCTAAAGAATCTCTGCTAGCCTGTCTTCTCCTAAAGAATCTCTGCTAGCCTGCCTTCTCCTAAAGAATCTCTGCTAGCCTGCCTTCTCCTAAAGAATCTCTGCTAGCCTGCCTTCTCCTAAAGAATATCTGCTAGCCTGCCTTCTCCTAAAGAATCTCTGCTAGCTTACCTTCAGTTTAAACGCTCCGTTTTTTAATATTTTTGATGTAAATAATAGATTTTTTAAACTAAATTTTCAAATTTTCTCGTTCGTCCATGGTACGTTTAGCCTATATATTCTTTTATATATTCCCTACTCTGTTCTCAACCCCGCCCTCTCAATGCTGACCCATCCAGCATTCAGCTCAAGGCCATCGCCCAGCTAGGTGTCGCCCGACTTTTTTCCGGGAGGCGCCCCACAAATCACACAAAACCCCCTGGATGGGCAGGAAGTGTCGAAATAATTGTGGTTTTTTGGACTTATAAAAAAGAGGGGTAGGATCTCTCGCTTTATCGGGGGGATTTCCTTTCAATCCAGAAATACCCAGTAACGTAATTTTAAGCATTTTAATAGTGATTTGAGTAAAATGTAACTATATTTCAAGTGGAAAATATATCTAAAAAAATGAAAAATGTCGTATTTTCGTCGATAATCGGTCATTTAGGTAAGAAATGGATTTTTTGGTACTTTTTTAATGGAAATTTTATAGCTATTTTATTAGGAATAATATAAAATTGTTTACCCGGTCTTTATATTGGAAAATTTGGATATAAAAAATTACCCCCACCCCCGATAACGCGAAAGCTCTGATTAATCATCGGATACCAGCCGATTTGATGAGCGGCTTTTCCTTTCCCGGCTCTCCCAGCTATTTTCAAGCGGCTTTTCCCCTGATTTGATATCCGGTCTGTTGCCATAACAAGCTCTTGTCTTTCGGGGGCCTCCTTTCTCAGAGGCGGCTTTTCCCTTCGACCTGTCCTCCTCCTCCTCCTCCTCTTGCTCCCCACCTCAATTTTACTCTCTTGTTTTCTCCGGATCACCACAACCTGCCATCCCTTTTTTTGGACAGAATTGCCAAATTCAATTTTTTAGGGGGTTGGGTCTTGATGTAAAATGGATGTTTTTTATGGAAGAGCGGCATTTGCTTTGTCTGCCTGAATTTTTCTGGCTGCCGAAAAGAGCTAGTTTTCCTAAAGATTCTCGGCTAGCTAGCCCGATCAGCTCCAATTTTTGCAATTTTCTAGGCTGAAAATAGATTTTTAAATCCCTGGCATCTCGTAGACTTCCCAAAGAATCCCAGCTACCCTGCCGCAATAGCAAAGTTTTACAAGGTTTTGAATCAAGATTTCTACAGAATCTCTGCAGGTGAAATTCTCAAGGAGCCTCTGCTAGCTGTCTCTTGCTGAGGTTTTCGAAGTCTCCAAGCGTCGCTGCTAGCCTGCCAGGTTTTGGATTATTCCGATAGCCTCAAATGATTTCTGCTAGCCTGCCTAGGCCTTGCTGCTTTTCCTAAATAATCCCTGCTGGCCTGCCGTCCTCCAATTTTTCTCCAAATTCCCCAATAGTCTTTGCTAGCCAGTCGTCTGGCCCTCGTTCGGTATTTACCCATTCCAGGAATTCCCGGCCCTGTAATCGTCATCACCGGAAATGCCCGTTGTATCCCCAGCTCAAATCCCCCCGCGCCGCGCTGCTATCAATTTTTCAGCTATCCATTGATCTTCTGCTAGCCGTCCCCATTTTTTTGGGGCGGTGGTTCGAGCCCGAGTCTTGATTCTCAAAAGGTCTCTGCTAGCCTGCCCTTGTCCTGCGCTTAATCAATCTTTTGCAGCCTGATGACCTTGTCGTCGATTCCTAGCTGTTTGATGGCGGCAGACAAAAGCCTGTAGTCCCATCTCCGGCCAATTACTCCACGCAAGGTCATTCCTCATTCCAGTTGGCTACTCTTTGCATGCTTGGTGTGCGTGAATTCCGTAAGAATCTCTGCTAGCCGGCCTTTTCCTAAAGAATCTCTGCTAGCTTGCCTCGATTTCCCTATCAATTCCTCAAACGCGAACTATCCCAAAAATCCTCGCGACTCTGCCTGTTCCTCAAATTTATTCGGCGCCGAAAGGGAGAAGGCGCACAGAGAAATCCGTTCAGGACCAAAACTAGCTTTCTCTCTCTCGCCTTCTCTATCTCTCTCTCTCTCTCTCTTCACGCAAATATCCTTTTTCTAGGGAGGATGGGCACGTTTAGCCTTTTAGCCGGAGTGGAGCATGGCCTTGGCCGGACATACATCACGCAAAGCATACAAACTCATTCCATATCGATAAAATTCCGCAAAAATCTCTGCGATTCACCTAGCAGAGACCATTTGGGAATTGTGAGAGGGAGGGCAGGCTAGCAGAGACCATTTGGGAATTGAGAGCCGAAGGCAGGCCAGCAGAGACCTTTGAGAGCCAAAATCTCAATTTTTCGTTTTTTTTTAATCCGTTTTTTTCTCGGATCTTCCGCTTACCACTTGATTGTTTATCGGTCGCACCCAACCTTTGGCTCGAATTTCCGGTTGTTGACCCACTTTCCCCTTTCTTTCCGCCCTCCATTCCGTTCGACACCTATCAACATCCCCGTCTTTACAGTAAATGGTGGGTATTTTACCGGACGACGAGAAGGGCCGGCAGCGCGTGGGTGCCGGCTGGGATGACACGGGTACGGTACAATTCTAGGGAGATTACGGTAGTGGTTTTAGAGCCCTCGTCTTCCTCTTCAACATCCAGCTCCAGCTCGCCCTCCCCAAAGTCATCCTCCCCAATACCACCGAAGGAGGTTGAGCACCATGGATCGGAGACGTTTGTCATACGGTAAGTGGGCTATAGGATTAAACGGACCTGGAAGGGATTTTTAAGAATCTGGAGAGAAAGGAGAAGGCAGGCTAGCAGGGATTATTGAGGAATTCCACCCCAATTTCCAGATGGATCAGCCGCTTCTTCCGCTGGTGGGCCCACTTCATAGCCCGTCACGCTATCAAGGTCATCGTCGTCTGCAGTGTGTTGTCAATTATTGGGGCCATCAAAATGGCTACAACACCGTGGGTTTCTCTCTCTCACTCTCTCTCTCTCTGTCTCTCTCTAAACACAATTTCAGGAATGAGAATGACATTGTCGGGTGGACACCATATGGGGCCAGATCGCTGCAAGAAATGGAGGTGTGTAAAATTTTGCCTTCCCGGTTCCTTTAAAATAGCCTTTGTATCGGCTAGATAGCACACATTCTTAGAGAAGTGGTGCGTTGTATTCAATGGATCCGACATCCTAGCAGCCACCAATTGGGAAGAATTACCAGAAAACAGGGCAGGCTAGCAGAGACCATTTGGGAAACACCTATTTTTACTTTAAAGGCCTCTTAAAGTCTAAACCCCCATTTCCAGATCTCCCGCCAATTCTTCGGCCACAAGGAGCAGATCATCGGGGTGACGGTGGTCGTGTTGGCAAAGGATGGAGGCTCGATGTTGACCACTGAAAGACTCAATGAAGTGAGAAGGGTAACAAAATCCATAAAATGTCTGACTTGCCTGCTCCTTTAGATTGAAGAATTCGTCGCCACCAACTTCACAATGCCCAACAAAAAGACCGGGAAACCGGAGAATTTCCGGGAGTTCTGCTACTCGTTTTGTCAAATGAACGACCCGATTGTGCTGTTTGCGGTGGGTTTTCTAAAGAATCTCTGCTATCCTGCCTGTTTCTAGGAAGGCTACGGACTGCAAGAAGCTCTCCTCCGTGATGGCCAACCTCTAAATGATCGTGTGCATCTCCACTATCCGAACAGCTCGATGTCGGGGTTGAAGTTTAACGTGCAGGTATACCTGTCACCACCCCTTTAAAACTCTAGTTTTATAGCCATCACTGTTCGGACTCGAATTCTTTGAGCAAAGCTCAGAACCGGCAAATACCACGGCGCTGGCGAGGCCGAGAATCGTCAATTTAAAGTGAGTTTTCGGTTATTTATTTTAAGTTTAGGTTGAATACATTTTTCATACTAAATTTAATTTTTAAAACGACTTGTGTGGATTTAGGTCAGTCCGGATGGTGGCCCTCCATTTCCGTGGAGAACGAGCCCAGGGCTGGACGCTGAACGACATCAAAATCTACGAGCTGGCGATCACCAACTATTTCAAGACGTACGGCTCCGGTTTTCAGGGTTTTGCCCAAATTTTGCAAAAAAATTTGTGCTGGCAGGGGATCGAACTCGGGTAACACGGTTATAAGGCTAGAAGGTAACCAATTAGCCAAGGCGTCATCGCGGCAAGAAATTCCATTGCGTGTTTGATAACTTCGCGTTGAGTGACGCGCCGCTTCGCGGCAAAATTCATGGTTTTCCTAGTCTTCCTGGGCCTTTAAGCGATAATTTTTAAACGTAGTTTTAACCTGTTTCTTGCCTTTTCAGTCCCTTTAAGCCACGTTTCCAGCCAGTTCACCTCTGATGAAGTGTCCGTCTTGACCCTGTCGACGAGCTACGTCGAAGCCGAGGTCGTCCGCGCCGGATATATGGTAATTGCCAAGCCCGATTGTCCTGTATTAAACTCGTTGTAGATGTTGCCCATCTTCATCATCGGTTTCGGCATCATGTTGGCCATCTCCAGCCTGACCACGTTCATCTCGGCCGCCTACATGCAGCAGTTGACGATCCATAAAGTGGGTTTAGAAAATGTCTAATTTAAATAGTTTTAAAAATACCTGCTGCTGTCACGGCACCTTTAAAGGGATTGGCAAGGCAGGGTCAAAGATTCTTTTCCCTAGATTTGCTACAAGTTTCTCAATGTGTTTTTCAGTTCTCGCTGGCTCTATTCGCGTGTATTTGCCCGTTCATGGCCTCGGGTACCGGCCTCGGCTTCTTGTTCATCTCCGGCGTGCGGTTCGGCTCGATTTTGTGCATCTCGCCGTTCCTCGTCTTGGCAATTGGTGGGTATTTTAAAGGGGCTGAGAAGCCAGAGAAATCTATAGAAGTACAGCAAATGCAGCTTTATGCAAACAATTCAGGAGTTGACGACGCCTATCTGATGATCCACGCATGGCAACGGGTCTCAAAAAGACTACGCTCACATCCGGTACCCCAGGATTCACCGGGATATCGATTGGCCGAGGTGAGGGAGCATTTTTAAAGGGACCGGTAAGCAGAACCGAGGTGGCGACGGGTGGCCTATTGGTTTGTACATAGATCTGCCAATCCAAACATCGAGGGTTCGAATCCCCGGAGTGTTTTTCCCTTTGCTTTTTCCTGAAAAACCTCTAAAGACACCTTTTAGGTGCTTACCGACACTGGCCCAGCCATCATCATCTCCGCCCTGACGAACATCCTCGCCGACACGGTGGGCACGTTCACCGGCTGCCCCGAGATTACCCTCCTCTCCTATGGAAATATGGCGTGTATTGGAGTGGATTTTCTATATCAGGCAAGAGATTTTAACGTTGGATTTTACGTGAATACTTATATATTTAAACCTTAAATTAAAATGATTTTTAGATCTCGTTCTACGCGGCAATTATGGTAATTGCTGGGAGATTCGAGATAGAGGCTGAGCAGCAAACAAAGAATAAGCTCAGCATCGAGATTGGCGACAATAATTCCGTGGATATTTGTCATGGGAAATGTTGTCCAAAGGTTTGTGATTTTTAAAGGGGTTGGCAAGGGATAGCTCTGTGAATTTCATCAGTCGCGACACGCAACGCGTCCGGCAGACCCCACGCGTTGCGTGTCGCGCCCGCGGCAAACCCCATGGGAAAATCATTTTTACTTCTGAGTAGCCTGATTTTTGCCGCGCCGCTACACGCAACAACAGCTTGGCACGAAGATGGGTTAGCCAATTACGCAATGAAAAAGTCTAGTGTGCGTTACGTATAGCTTCCGATTCAGAATCTTTACGATATCCATGCCTTTACGGTTCCTTTAAAAGCCGATTTTTACACCTATTTTTATGTTAAGGTCTCTGAACGATTCCACGACGCCGTCAAGACAAAGTTCAACGCCTTCCTCGATGGCTATGTTAATTTGGTGAATAACAAGCTGTTCGACGCGGCCGTGTTCATCGTCTGGGCAGGATATATTGTCCTTTGTGTTATCGTAAGTCTTAAAAGCGATTTTGCCTCTTTAAAGACAATCAAATGCACCCAAGGCCGATTGGTGGAGCTCTAGCCCCCACCCACAGGGTCCGGGTTCGAATCCAGACGGGCGAAATTTTTTCTTTTTGCTGAAGTTGATCGATAAAGCCTTGGCAAGCTGTCAATAGTGTGAAAAATTCTTTTACGTTCTGTAGAACCTGGAAAACAACCATTTTCTAGGGAATCATGGGCATTCAAGTGAACATCTCCTCCAAGAAGTTGTTCGCCGGCGATTCGGATCTTCAAACGATGGAAGATCTTCGACACACTCATGTCTATCCACACTACGTCATTATTCACGTTTTTGTCAATAATCCGGGAGATTTGACGGATCCGCAGCGTTTGAATAGGTATGCAAAATTGCCTTCAAGGGAGCGACAATGCATTGCTATGAACGTGGCGCAACACGCAACGTTTCCTAGCGTAAAGCGTCGTAATCCATTACGCAACGGAAGGCCAGGCGGTCGCGTCGCATGTCGCGGCGCGAAAATTCTATAGAAAATCGATGAAATCATGTCTTGCCTGACCCTTTAAAATTCATTATTTCAGGCTGAACCAATTTGTCGCCGATTTCGAACAGTTACCGGGTGCCTGGGGCCCGATTAGCACGAATTATTTTGTGCGGTAAGTTTTTAGGGCTTTTTAGAATTAGGCGCAAACTAGCAGAGGTTCTTTAGGACAAGGATAGCTCAAAACCCCCAATTTTTCAGAGATTTTCTGGAGTACCAGAGGGGCGGAGGTGATGATGATGATCAAGTGGAAGTGGATGAAGAGAGTGAGGCACCTGAAGAGACCTCTGTGAAAGAGAAAAAGCCGGCGGTTTCCGGCTTCGACCCGAACGCCTTACCCGCTTTTATCGAATGGGCCGAGACGAAATTCTGGCGTGGATTCGTGAGGTTGAGCCAGGATGAGAAGTGAGTGTAACAGTTTTAAAGGGGCAGGTTGGATGTCGTGCTCCGTTTAAAGACCAAGCACCAACTAAAAATATCGATTTAGGAATAACACCCATCTTGACCGTTTCTTCTTCACGACAGCCTTCTACGGCAAGGAGTTTCTGGAGTGGAAGACGCGGTCGATTGCAATGAAGGCATGGAGAGGCGTCGTCGATAAGTACAAGTACGTAGCTTAACGCTAATTTGGTTCAGAATCTAATATCGTAGTTTCTTTAACACCGAGGAATTTGGGGAATAATTAAAAGTTCAAAATTTTAAGTAGCAACAATTTTACGGAATTTAATTTTTGCTTTTTCTGGGGGTTTTGGTCAATCCATAAAACAATTTGTCTCTGCGCTAATATATGTAATTTTTGAGTCTTCACAATTTTAAAATCGGGTTTTGGAGTTTTTAGAAAAAGACTAGAAGTTTCAGCGTTTTAATTTTTAAAAGTAGTTATGATTATTTAATTAATACTATATTTTAATATGGCTACGCTATTTAATAAATTTAGTTAAATGTTATTTTTCTAGGGCCGAATTCAACTGCTCAGTCTTCTACGATGAGGCCATCTACATCGATTTCATGGACAATATGCCGACCGACACCTGGCAGGTACGTTGGAAACACGAAAAGCAGAGAACACAAAAAAATTTAGTCGGCCGCCGGAACTCTGGGCTGCATGGCGTTGATCTGTTTCGTGTTCATGTTCGACTTTTTCACCGTGTGCGTCTCGACGGCAGCGATTGCTTCAGTGATGGCCGGTAGGGGTTTTGGAGGTCCTTAACAAGATCCGAAAGGTTAAAAAGCGAATTCAAAGCTATATTAACGTTTCTGGGCAAAGAGCAAAAAGTTCTGACGAGCCGGGGAATCGAAGCCGGGCCGTGTTGGTGTGAGGCGAGAGCTTTACCAGCCGGCCAAGAGACGAACCCCCTTAGCGAAAGGAAGAGCCCTCCTGAAGCCTCGTGAGCCACCGCCATGGCACAAGGGGCTGGTTCGACCCCCGGACGCGGCAAAATTTTTGCTTTTTGGTAGAGATCTGGGGTTTTTTAAGGTAATTTAGAAGAGTACTAAATCGCGAAGACCTTTCTGAATAATACATGAATGTTAATAAAATAAATACATAGTAAAAAACACTAGACTTTGAGTAAAGTTTAATTTTTCCGTTATTTATAATTTCGCTATCCAGGTATCCTCGGCATCAACGCCCTCCTCGGCATGGAGCTCGACCCGATCGTGATGGCGTCGTTGGTCATCTCCGTCGGCTTCTCAGTCGATATTCCGGCCCATGTCTCATATCATTTTCATATGGCAGGTATGGTAGCGCCAATCAAACTCGAGTTTCGAGCTGTTTTTCAGATGCCCACCTCACTGGCGAGGTTACGGTAAAGACACGACTTCGATATTGCCTCGCTTCAGTTGGTTTTCCGGCCATCCAGGCGGCTATATCGACCAATCTTTGCGTCGTTGCACTACTTTTTGCTGATATTTACACATCTAGGGTTGGTTTTTACGCTTTTTGCGGTTTTAAAGGGACTGACAAGGCTTGGCTGTGGATTTTTGGCCGTTGTCATGGTCATTTTCCACGCGTGAAAGCAACAGCTTAAATTCGATCGCGTAATCGTCTATCGGCCCAACCAGAGTATCTTGGCCGTCCCTTTAACGAGGGCAAGCTAGCAGAGATTCTTTAGGAGAAGGCAGGCTAGCAGAGATTCTTTAGGAGAAGGCAGGCTAGCAGAGATTCTTTAGGAGAAGGCAGGCTAGCAGAGATTCTTTAGGAGAAGGCAGGCTAGCAGAGATTCTTTAGGAGAAGGCAGGCTAGCAGAGATTCTTTAGGAGAAGGCAGGCTAGCAGAGATTCTTTAGGAGAAGGCAGGCTAGCAGAGATTCTTTAGGAGAAGGCAGGCTAGCAGAGATTCTTTAGGAGAAGGCAGGCTAGCAGAGGTCATTCAGGAAAACCATCGTTTATTCCCCTATTTTCAGGTGTTCGTCCGAATCATGGTCCTCTGCGTCTCTCTCTGCCTCCTCCATGGTATTCTCTTAATTCCTTGTGCCATGTCTCTCCTCTCCCCAATTATTCAGGCCTGCAAGGGTCGAAGAAAACCATAGAAACTTTTTTTAATTTTTTTCGAAATTTCAAATGATATTTTTTAACGTTTTTTATTTTTGTGTTTGCTACCCCATCTGCCAACCAAAAGTCCTTCAACCGCCCTTTAAATCCGCGCAAATCTCACCGTTTTTTTTGCATTTTTCCCCAGCTCGGTTGCAATTTTTGTGATTTCGTATCGTCATTTTTATAGTTTTTACAAATTTTTTGCTACCCGGTTCCTTCCAAATATTTTTTGAAATTTAAATTTCCTAATTTTCACTTATCCCTTTACTTTTTTGACCATTACGTGTCTGTTTGCATGGGTCTCTGCGCTAAAAGATTTGATGCTATTTTTGGAATGAATAAAGATTTTTTGAGATTTCCGCAAATCTATTCGCAAAGAATCTCTGCTAGCCTGCCTTCTCCTAAAGAATCTTTGCTAGCTGCTAGCCTCCCTTTCAATACCTAAATCTACAGAGTCTAATGTTGGGAAAGCGGGTGTTCCCGGTGCCCTTTTTCGAATGGCGCTGTCCTGAAAGTGCAGTCGTCCTCTATCGTAGGGAGTCGGGGAAGCCCCATATTTCAATTTTTCGCTTTCACATGGCTTTTTAAGCTAGGAAAAGTTATATTACTACAATGTTAATGTTATTAAAGTTACTATCATAACCTGCCAAAAATAAAGTTTCGAAGCACCTTCTCGAAAAATTCAAACAATTTGTATGATCAAAAACCATAATTTAAAATTACTATATTTTGCTATTGTTGTAGCACTGTTTAAACTTACCTATAATTGTAATAAAGATATATTTAAAACCTTAAAACTAAAAAACCCTAGCTCGAGTCTATTTTGCCCTTTTCCATCCTCCATAATCCGATAGATTCCACTTGACAGTCTCCCATATCAGTTCACCCCGCAAAAATTGGGTGCGATTAGCCGAAGATAGAGAGCAAGAGAGAGGGAGAGAGGGAGAGAGAAAGAGAGATAGAGGGTGGGAGAGACACCTAGAGACAACAAGCGGATACACGGGAAAAGAGCGCACGTGGGCCAAGCGAACCGGACAACACCCCGGGAATTGCACATGCCCATCACCCAGAATATAAACATCTTGTCCTCTTGGGCTCTCTTTCTCTAGTCTCTCTCACTCTCGGTGTTCTCTCGCCTCTAAAGGGTCCATTTCATCAAGGTCGAGCCCCGCCCCAACGGTCACCCCACATTTCATGGCCTCACTGGATCTAAGGGGGGGTTGGGTAGTGTTAATCGTGAGTTCCGCTAGACCCCGATAACCGTGGGATATTTAATGGCGTAATCGGTTTGACTGGAATTCACCACTGACGAGCCCTTGACGTGGTCCTCATAGTGGCCCCTCCTTTTTGAGGCTTCTACGCACCGATTCCTGTTCTTGTTGCTGTGGCCTAGTGGCTAAGGCTTTGGTCTCGCAACATCATGTCCAGGGTTCAAATTCGCCCGGCGGTTTTCCTTTTTGCTTTTTGGCCCTAAGGTACCCTAGCCTTTCTGAATGCTTGAAACTTGTCTTTATAATTTTTCCTACTCTTTTGGCTTGAAATGTCCTACTCTTTGCAGTGAATGCATGTGGATCGACATAGCCCTCTATTTATTCCTTTTCTGCCTCCTGGGTTACGGTATCGCCCGGCTGCTACGTCTCGAGGAGCGTTATGTAGTTGTCGATGGCCCGGGAGGGCGAGCGAGACGGCGGAGACACAGATACGGTAGGTTTTCAGGGTTCTAAAAGGGCGAGAAATGCAGGTTTTCGATTTTATTGGCTATGGGACCGCTGTGGATTTAAATGTGACCGCGAATTTTTATAGCTAATCTAAAATCCAAACGCCAAGCGTGTGTGTGTCTTTAGGCATAACTCGTGGCTGTCGAGACCCAGCCGCCGGAAGCTTCCGGAAGCGGTCGATTCTAGAACTTCCCGTCCCCTTTAAATACCGAAAATCCCGTCGATCGACAAATAATCCCGACAATTCCAGAATTCCCGTACTCCCGCGATATGGACTGCTGGCCATTTGAAGACCTCTGGATCTACCAACCACCGTAACCCAAATCCAGAAAATTGGATTATCCCGAAAACCGACCCTGCACGTCTCTGTACTTAATTTCCGCGGTTGTACATAGTTTTTCCGTGTAGCCATGAGTGATACGGTGTTTTTAAAAGGCCATTGAAGTCACCCATGACTTCCTGAGCCCTTAAAAATGTTTAAGTTTGTTTTCTGACTGATTTTCACTTTTTTGGATGTGATAGTAGGCTTTGAATCGGGTATCTTGCACGTGAATAAATACGGGATGAGAGAGAGTGAGCGAAAGTTAGAGAGAGAGAGAGAGAGAGAGAGAGAGAGAGAGAGAAAGAGATAAGCGGTGGCTCTCAAAAACATTGCTATCACCACATGGCCATCCGGTGCCATCAATCAGCTTGCAAAAGCAGCTAATTTTAGCCAAATCTGAAGGCCAACTAGCCGAGGCCATTTGGGAATTGAGAGAGGGAGGGCAGGCTAGCAGAGACCATTTGGGAATTGAGAGAGGGAGGGCAGGCTAGCAGAGACCATTTGGGAATTGAGAGAGGGAGGGCAGGCTAGCAGAGACCATTTGGGAATTGAGAGAGGGAGGGCAGGCTAGCAGAGACCATTTGGGAATTGAGAGAGGGGAGGGCAGGCTAGCAGAGACCATTTGGGAATTGAGAGAGGGAGGGCAGGCTAGCAGAGACCATTTGGGAATTGAGAGAGGGAGGGCAGGCTAGCAGAGACCATTTGGGAATTGAGAGAGGGAGGGCAGGCTAGCAGAGACCATTTGGGAATTGAGGGAGGAAGGGCAGGCTAGCAGAGACCATTTGGGAATTGAGAGAGGGAGGGAAGTCTAGCAGAGACCATTTGGGAATTGAGGGAGGAAGGGCAGGCTAGCAGAGACCATTTGGGAATTGAGGGAGGAAGGGCAGGCTAGCAGAGACCATTTGGGAATTGAGAGAGGGAGGGCAGGCTAGCAGAGACCATTTGGGAATTGAGAGAGGGAGGGCAGTCTAGCAGAGACCATTTGGGAATTGAGAGAGGGAGGGCAGTCTAGCAGAGACCATTTGGGAATTGAGGGAGGAAGGGCAGGCTAGCAGAGACCATTTGGGAATTGAGAGAGGGAGGGCAGGCTAGCAGAGACCATTTGGGAATTGAGAGAGGGAGGCAGGCTCGCAGAGAACATTTGTATTTTGTGTTTTCCCCAGCATAACGTTTAAGAAAAATTTATGCAAATATGAATCTAATACCCGTAAATGGCACAGAATAGAGTGAAGAGACTTTCTGGGACGGATGGCTACGCGGGAATACAACTGAACGGACGGGCACGGGGTATAAAATGGAATGGAATATTTCTGGGGTGTTGAGCGAGAGAAAGAGAAAAAAAAAAAAAGAGAGGAAGAGAGAGAGAGAGAGAGAGAGGAAGCGAGAAAAAGATACAGCTTAAATTATTGAAACCACCTGGAATAAATCACAAAATCAGCCAGAATTCAGGGATTTTTAGGAATTAACTTAAGTTTTAAGGGATTAAGGAAGACAAGCTGCTTAATATGCAGTATTAAAAGCATGTAATGTGGGTAATTTTGGCCTTGTAATTTCGGCACGTTGCTTCCGATTCTCTTTCCTTTTGTAGCATATATAGGCGGAGAGGAGGCCGAGGCTCAATCCGACGCACACCTGAAAATTAGGGTTATGGTAAGCTAGCAGCGACTCTTTAGGAGAAGGCAGGCTATCAGAGATTCTTTAGGAGAAGGCAGGCTAGCAGAGATTCTTTAGGAGAAGGCAGGCTAGCAGAGATTCTTTAGGAGAAGGCAGGCTAGCAGAGATTCTTTAGGAGAAGGCAGGCTAGCAGAGATTCTTTAGGAGAAGGCAGGCTAGCAGAGATTCTTTAGGAGAAGGCAGGCTAGCAGAGATTCTTTAGGGAGAAGGCAGGCTAGCAGAGATTCTTTAGGAGAAGGCAGGCTAGCAGAGATTCTTTAGGAGAAGGCAGGCTAGCAGAGATTGTTTAGGAGAAGGCAGGCTAGCAGAGATTCTTTAGGAGAAGGCAGGCTAGCAGAGATTCTTTAGGAGAAGGCAGGCTAGCAGAGATTCTTTAGGAGAAGGCAGGCTAGCAGAGATTCTTTAGGAGAAGGCGGGCTAGCAGAGATTGTTTAGGAGAAGGCAGGCTAGCAGAGATTCTTTGGGAGAAGGCAGGCTAGCAGAGATTCTTTAGGAGAAGGCAGGCTAGCAGAGATTTTTAGGAGAAGGCAGGCTCAGAGATTCTTTAGGAGAAGGCAGGCTAGCAGAGATTCTTTAGGAGAAGGCAGGCTAGCAGAGATTCTTTAGGAGAAGACAGGCTAGCAGAGATTCTTGGAGAAGGCAGGCTAGCAGAGATTCTTTAGGAGAAGGCAGGCTAGCAGAGATTCTTTGGGAGAAGGCAGGCTAGCAGAGATTGTTTAGGAGAAGGCAGGCTAGCAGAGATTGTTTAGGAGAAGGCAGGCTAGCAGAGATTCTTTAGGAGAAGGCAGGCTAGCAGAGATTCTTTAGGAGAAGGCAGGCTAGCAGAGATTCTTTAGGAGAAGGCGGGCTAGCAGAGATTGTTTAGGAGAAGGCAGGCTAGCAGAGATTCTTTAGGAGAAGGCAGGCTAGCAGAGATTGTTTGGAGAAGGCAGGCTAGCAGAGATTCTTTAGGAGAAGGCAGGCTAGCAGAGATTGTTTAGGAGAAGGCAGGTAGCAGAGATTCTTTAGGAGAAGGCAGGCTAGCAGAGATTCTTTAGGAGAAGGCAGGCTAGCAGAGATTGTTTAGGAGAAGGCAGGCTAGCAGAGATCTTTAGGAGAAGGCAGGCTAGCAGAGATTGTTTAGGAGAAGGCAGGCTAGCAGAGATTCTTTAGGAGAAGGCGGGCTAGCAGAGATTGTTTAGGAGAAGGCAGGCTAGCAGAGATTCTTTAGGAGAAGGCGGGCTAGCAGAGATTCTTTAGGAGAAGGCAGGCTAGCAGAGATTCTTTAGGAGAAGGCAGGCTAGCAGAGATTCTTTTGGAGAAGGCAGGCTAGCAGAGATTCCTTGCACAAAACTGACCACGGCGATGACGATGGCCAATCCGACAGCCCAAACAGGTTGCAATGCCCTCGACAGCTTCTCGTTATGATCATAATCTGGAGGTGGAGGTACGGTGGTGGTTGAGGAGATTTCTGGAATCTTGAGGTTTAAAGGGACTTGGAAGGGTGGATCTACGGTATCCTCGGTTTAAAGGGACTAGAAAGACTTACCAAATCCACTAAAATCCCCTGAACTTGCCCGGCTTGGTGTGAAAAACTCAGGGATTGTTATCGAGGCTGCAGTGGTGTATTTTGGAGTGGCTGCGGGAGCTGAAAAAATATGCATAAATTTACTAAAGACTACAAACTACAAACTATAGATTGAAAACTACAACTTCGGAAATGTAAACTACACTCTCCAAATTCGACCCACCTCCTATCAGCCTTCCATCAGAATCCATTCCCGCCGTCCCGGCAAGTTGTGGAGTGGTTTGGGTGGGCTAAAAGGCAGGATTCTATAAGACGACCGAAATACCGTACCCCATCCCTCTTCAAAACCACGGAGAGGACGCCGTCGTTGAAGTTGCCCTTTGGAGCCAATAGACAATCACCGCCACGGCAGCCCACCTGAAATTGGAAAAATTGTGGGTTTAAAGAAACTGGGAAGTGGCTCAACGTCATTTTCATGTTCTCTCTCACTTTCTCTCTCTCACTCTCTCTCTCTTTCTCTCGCTCTCGCTCTCTCTCACTTACCAGTTGGCAATTCGGCTCTCCTGGCCTCGGGCTGATGATCCCCAGTAGAGTAACGCCTCGGCAATCTGAAAATGATTTTTAAGATTTCGCGATTTTGATTTTTTTTTGGGTTTTGGTGTCACTGTGCCTTTAATCAGCTGAAAATGGGCTAGGTAATTAGCAGAGACCATTGTGGAAGCCCAGTTTTTTGCGCTCTAGCTAGCTCTCGCTCTCTGTCTGTCACTCTCTCTCTCTCTCTGTCTGTCACTCTCTCTCTCTCTCTCTCTCTTCTCTCTTTCTCTCTATCGTTGAGCTCTCGCTCTCACTGGTCCATTAAAAAATATTGGCCTGCCAGAAGCAAAAGGCAATCTAGCAAAGTTCCTTTAAGGACCGTTTAGCTGGCACTATTCCCTGAAATCCAGCCCTCCACTTCCCCCCTCGTGCTCAAAAAGCGATTAACCTTGAGGGCAATCGTGTCAATTCGTTTCCACCCGAACAACGGTCCTTTATCCCTCTCTACATTCGTTTTATGCAAAGTGAGAAAGGGGGTAACTGTGATTCTTCGAGCATAGGGGAGGGGGCATTGTATAGAATCCAGGGGTAGAGGGGGCACGCGACAACTTGATGGCCCTTTTTTCGACCATCCCCCTGGCTTGCCCCATTCCAATTCATTACGACACACAACACGACAGGACGGGTGGAAGGGACGGGGGAAAACTCGTCCTATTCCCTTGCCCAGCATGGCAACGGAACCATACATTCAAAAAAACCAGAAAACAAAAGTACTGCCCTAGACGTCAGCTAGCTGACTTTCAAAAGGTCTCTGCTAGCCTGCCCTCCCTCTCTTAATTCACAAATGGTCTCTGCTAGCCTGCCCCCCTATCTCAATCCCCAAATGGTCTCTGCTAGCCTGCCCTCCCTCTCTCAATTCCCAAATGGTCTCTGCTAGCCTGCCCTCCCTCTCTCAATTCCCAAATGATCTCTGCTAGCCTGCCCTCCTTCTCTCAATTCCCAAATGGTCTCTGCTAGCCTGCCCTCCTTCTCTCAATTCCCAAATGGTCTCTGCTAGCCTGCCCTCCTTCTCTCAATCCCAAATGGTCTCTGCAGCCTGCCCCTCCCTCTCTCAATCCCCAAATGATCTCTGCTAGCCTGCCCTCCTTCTCTCAATTCCCAAATGGTCTCTGCTAGCCTGCCCTCCCTCTCTCAATTCCCAAATGGTCTCTGCTAGCCTGCCCTCCCTTTCTCAATCCCGAAAATGATCCCTGCTAGCTCCCTCTCCCTGGGCTATTT